TCCTCCTGCCTCAGCCTCCTGAGCGCTGGAATTACAGGCATGCGCCCCGATGCCAGGCTCCACAGGGTTGTTCTTGATCATGAAATGTGGTTTGGGGAGGCTTGTGTGAAATCCCTGATTATAAGAATGGGCAGTATTGGAAATCACAGTCTTAGGATTGTGTGCATGAAACATTTGACCAGCAGAGTAAGTTCCTCACAGATTGTTATTCCAGGAGGAGCAGACTTTGACTGTTACTGCAGTAAAAACACCTAAGCACTAACGGCAAATATGATGGAATGAAGTGGACTCACAGGAGACGCAGGTCCTTAATGTGTGCTCTTCCATTCGCGGCAGGTATTAACTCAATCGTGGCCATCGCCTCGTACACTGGGTACAACCAAGAGGACTCTGTCATCATGAATCGTTCGGCTGTAGACCGAGGCTTTTTCCGGTCAGCGTTTCATACAATTCGTCAAACTACAGGGTGGAAATAGTGGTTTCTTAATATAAGAAGTTCTTTAAAAATAGATTTGACTCTGCCCTCTGTCAGAAAACGGGAGGTGGGGTGTGGCCACATCTGGTTGAGGGGACTCTGCCCCTTGTGTCTCCTTGGATTTTCAGATGCCAGTATCTTGGTTTGGGTATTTTGTGAGCAAATACACATTTGCATTTCAATACTTTAGAAATATCTGCAGGAAGAGTTATGAACCTGTTATCTTGGAGCCCATAAATAACTGCTGCTAAAATTACTTTCGCTCCTTTTTTGTATCATGCTTCCCTTTGATTGCTTTATTGACACAAAGATTGCTCTCATATCCACGGCATGTAAAGATTATTTTAAAAAAATAAGGGATTTGGAGAAGAGGACCCTGCCCTGTGTAGTTTCACCAGCCGGCTCCAGCGCTGGAAGGTGCACATCACAGCTTAATGGGCGGAGCCGCTGTGGAGCTGTCCGAGGCGCTGGGCAACCACCTCTCGGGCTTGTTAGGACGGAAGTGGCTCTGAGGTTGGGTGAGAGGGTGGACTTGGGAACTGGGAGTTTGTCTTGCCCTAGCCTAGGTGTGTGAGGGGTGAAATGCAACATGCATGTCCCATTTCACATGCATCCATTTGTTTTTTTGTTTTGTTTTGTTTTGTTTTTTTCCGGTACCGGGAATTGAACTCACGACCTTGCGCTTGCCAGGCATGCGCTGTGCCACTGAGCTAGATCCCCAGCCCCTTCCATTTGTTTATTTGTTTATTTTTGTGGTACTGGGGATTGAACTCGGGGCCTTTTGCATGCTAGGCAAGTGCTCCTACCACTGAGCTACAGCCCCAGCCCTGCATTTAGCATTTAACTTCCACCCTTCATACAGTTACTCTTATCCCTGATTCATGGTTTAGGTTGTCTCTCACCTGTCAGTTAAAAGAAAAATTATTGGTATATACTAAGCCCTTTTATTAAAGAAAATAGAAGTCACCTTTAGGACCTTGTGTTTTTTAGGTCTGTTTTCTATCGCTCCTACAAAGAACAGGAATCTAAAAAAGGATTTGACCAAGAAGAAGTTTTTGAGAAACCTACACGTGAAACATGCCAGGGTAAGTGTAGAATTCAAAGGTAGTTTTCTTGAGTAATGTTGCCAGGTTGTACCTTCTACCTGCTTTGGAATATGTTTTTGTGTTGTTCGTAGAAACTGTGTGTAAGAAAATACGTTATTTCCCAAGAGTCTTTGCACCCTCCCCGAGTGTCCGGTCCTGCAGGGAGGGGAAACTTAGGAGGTCAGAGAAGCGGTGTTTGCTCTTGGTCTCCACTTCGTGCATTGGCATGGGAGCTCCTCTTTGCCCCAGACTGTGGTGCAGCCGTAACTGTTTGGCCATAATATTGGTAAACATTTTAAAAATAAATGAGAAGAGAAGCTAGCATTTGTTATTTGCTCTAGAAAACTCAAACTTGCTGTTCTAATTGTTATTTTAAGATGTTTAAAAAAATACCTGTGGGGTGGGCTTAGCTGGGCTGTGCCAGGGGTGGGGTACCTCTGCTACAGTTTGTCTCCCTCCGGGACACGAGGGATGTGTCTTATCTTCCCGAGTCCCTTCTCGTTACTCCGGTTCTGTGCAGCAGTGGAGGTACGGGTGCACACGGTGAGCCTCAGTCTCCGTGGGCGGAGGCGTGCGGAAGGCGCACTTGAGTGTGGGTTTCAGTCTTCGCGGGCGTGTGTGGCGTTCTCAGTGCTTTCCTGCCCGTGTTTCCTCACAGGCATGAGGCACGCCATCTACGACAAGCTGGATGACGATGGCTTGATAGCGCCCGGCGTCCGTGTGTCCGGAGATGATGTCATCATAGGCAAAACGGTTACCCTGCCTGAGAACGAAGACGAACTGGAGAGCACGAACCGGCGCTACACCAAGAGAGACTGCAGCACTTTCCTCAGGACCAGCGAGACGGGCATCGTGGACCAGGTCATGGTGACCCTCAACCAGGAAGGGTACAAGTTCTGTAAAATAAGGGTGAGTATGGCGTACGCATTGCGTGCCAGTGGCTGCGGGGTGTACATTGACTTCATTGAACCTATTCTTGTGTGACTTCAGGTACGTTCTGTAAGAATTCCACAGATTGGAGACAAATTTGCTAGTCGGCATGGTCAGAAGGGGACTTGTGGAATTCAGTATAGACAAGAGGTAGGTGTCTGGTGTCCTTCCTGCCGAATCCAGTGTTGGATATTGTTTAAAATCACAATTTAATTTTATTAACTTTTTAACCATTGACAAGGTATACAGACGTACCTTGAACAGTATTTAGGACATAAAAAATTTAGTTGGAGATGGTGTCAGTCCTAGTTTTTTGTTTGTTTTTTTGTTGTTTTTTGGGGGGTTCTTTTTGAGACAGGGTCTCACTATGCAGTTCAGTGAGGCCTTGATTTCACTTTGTAGCCCAGGCTGGCCTTAAACTCACAGTGATCCTTCTGCCTTAGCCTCTTGTGTGCTGGGATTACAGGCATGAGCCACCATGCCCGGCCAGGCCTAGTTTTGTAGCTAAAAGATTTCAGTATCTTTTAAGTCTCTTAAAATTTTCTTTGTAGGATATGCCTTTCACCTGTGAAGGTATCACTCCTGATATCATCATAAACCCCCACGCCATCCCGTCCCGTATGACGATTGGTCACTTGATTGAATGTCTCCAAGGGAAGGTAAGAGATTGCTCTGAAATGGCCTTTCTTCCCAAATGATGAGGAATATTTTCTCTCATACTGGAGGCAGGATATTTGCTAAAGCTAGTGTGATTATCTCCAAATGGGTTAGGATTCTGCCTCCCTCCCTGCCTTTTTTTTTTTTTTGGTACCGGGAATTACAGTGAGGACCTTGTGCTTGCCAGGGACGCTCTGTGCTACTGAGCTGTATCCCCGGCCCTCTACCCGTTTTTTTAACGAGGAAAATTTGCAAAGTTATGGCCAAGAGAGAATTTTTGTAAGATGTACTGCCTACAAGCTGTGTATACGTAAATGGTTATCTTATGCAGTGTTTCTTCCTATAGGTAGTTAATTCATTGGTGCTTAGTTCAGCACAAACAATTTTATAGCTACATTGTCAGCTATGTATATTTCAGTGGAGGTTTTCAGATTTTAAGTGTCTTGTTAGGGTAGAATGGCTATAGTCTAACACATGGATGGTTTGATTTTGGGGTGTTTAATTGTCATTTCCCTTTAGGCAGGGCCGGGGATATAGCTCAGTGGCATAAGCGCCTGCCTGGCAAGTGCAAGGTCCTGAGTTTGATTCCCAGTACCAAAAAAAAAAAAGAGTGGTCCCTTTAGGCATCAGAAGAATTTGGAAGTCTCGATCTTTCTGTACCCAATTCTTTGGATAGATTTCTATTTGATGGCTTATAACTGAGTTTTTCATTTTTAGATAAATTAATTTATTTTGAATGAAGTATAAGCTGTTAATAAAATGAGCCTTGGTATGTGTAGCCTTCTGTAATACAGATTTTAAGTTCAAAATTTTCCCATGTATAGAAAGAATTTAAATTAATTGTATTTTTATTCAGTTATAACTTCTAAGGGGAAACTGGAGCAGCATTTTATTTATTTATTTATTTTTCCCGGTACCGGGAATCGAATTCACGAGCTCGTGCTTGCCAGGCAGGCGCTGTGCCATTGCGCTAAATCCCCAGCTCCAGGAAGCAGCATCTTAGAAAATACTTTTATGTCCAGGTCTCAGCCAACAAGGGTGAAATTGGTGACGCCACTCCGTTTAATGACGCTGTTAATGTGCAGAAGATCTCTAACCTTCTCTCTGACTATGGCTATCATCTCAGAGGAAACGAGGTACATTTGTTCTTGGAGTAGTGATTTGTTATGTGTTCTCTTTTGTTACATACGTGATTTATTCTTAAGAAATGAACCTATTGACGTGTAACACACTTCAGAGGTGTACACAACGCATAACTGCACAGCTGGGTGACTTTCCATAGTGAGCACTCCCGAGTGACGGACGCCGGGGTCTGGGAAGGAGCGTAACTGGACCGTGCGTGCCTCCGCAGTCACTGCTGCCCGTCACCCCACACTCACCGCTCTCCACTGCCGACAGATCGGTGTGGTCTGTTTTGACCTTTATACCTGCAGTGAACAGCGCGCACTGGTATCTTTTGAACTTGTTTAACGTCTTTAGCTTTGCACTTCACAGTCTGTCTCTCTAGGTCCTCTACAATGGGTTCACTGGTCGAAAAATCACATCACAGATTTTTATTGGCCCCACTTACTACCAGCGTTTGAAGCACATGGTGGATGACAAAATTCATTCTCGAGCTAGGGGACCCATTCAGATCCTTAATCGACAGCCCATGGAGGGCCGATCTCGGTAAGAGCTGTCAGCATCGCTGCAGTTAAGCTGGTTTCTTTTTTGTTTTTTGGACTGGAGATTGAACCCAGGACCTTTGCACTAAACTATGCCTTCAGCCCCCTTTTACTTTTTACGGGAGGGGCTGGGTTGCCCAGGACGGCCTCAAACTTACAATTCTCCTGCCTCAGCCACTGAGAATGCTACAATTGCAAGTGCATGCTCCCATGCCTAGTGGTTGCCTTTCATTTTATGACTTTCTTTTCTTTTTTCTTTGTACTGGGAATCGAACTCGGGACCTTGCGCTTGGCAGGCAGGCACTTGTACTGCTGAGCCCTATACCCAGCCCTTGTTTTATGACTTTTGTTTTTTTGTTTTTTTGTTAAATTTTTTAGACAGGGTCTTGCTCTGCAGTTCAGGCTGGCCTTGAGCTCACTTTGTAGCCCAGGCTGGTCTTGAACTCGCAATGATCCTCCTGCCTCAGCTTCCTGAGTGCTGGGATTACCAGGCGTGCACCACCACCCCTGGCTGTTTTATGCCTTTCATAGCCGTTTGGTTATGTCTAAGCCTTCAGTTAACAGGGATTTTCACTCCTTCATTAGCTGTATTACTGCTAAAGCCTTGTTTCTTCAGCTAGTCACCTGGATGTATCCCTCTCTCCTACCCATAGTAGGGGCAGGGTGAACGTTTGCGTGTTTGCCAGCTTGCAGAGTAATGAATTAGTTGTCTAGCATGTTACAAAGCTGAGCGATGACGTTTGCTTTTTGGTAGTGTCATTCTGGATCCCTTGGTTTCCTCTTACGTATCTTGTGTGGAGAATGCCAAGGAATCCGTCATCACCCAGTTGTGTAGCCTTCGAGCAGTGCCGTCTCCGGAGGTGCTCTGTCGTCGTTCACCGTTCTTCCCTTTACCAGCGTGCACGTCCCCTCCTGTCTGGGGCTCATTTGCTGGGCAGACACCTTATCTGTTTTTTTTTTATTTTAATTTTTGTTTTTTTTTCCTGGTACCAGGAATCAAACTCATGGCCTTGCGCTTGCCAGGCAGGCCCTATGCCGCTGAGCTAAATCCCCAGTCCCCAGACACCTTATTTAAATTAATTTAAATCTTAGGGCCGGGGATATAGCCCAGCAGCACATGCGCCTGCCGGGCATGTGCAAGGTCCTGAGTTCGATTGCCAGTACAAAAAAAATTTGTTTTCTTGAATTCACTTTTCAGTATAGCGTTGATTTTTAGGAAGTGAAACAATAGCTTATTGAGCCTGTTCTGTGACTTCATTGTAGTTCATGAAGAAAATTAACTGCTGTACTTGAGAATCTAGTGTTCCTACTCTATTTTGGGGCCCTGTGCCCGTCAGGTGGCTGGTAGACTTCTTCCCGCCAGCTAGAGAAAAAGTTAGAGCCCGGTTCTCCTTCGCAGTGTCCCTTTACCTGTGCCGTGAGAGCGCCGAGTGCTAACCACTAGGCCACCCGGAGGCGCTTACCTGTGCTGTGAGTGAGTGGTTTGTGTAAGTTGTAAGAAGTACACCGTAACGTGCTGCTTCCCTGTAACAGTGACGGGGGCCTGCGTTTCGGAGAAATGGAGCGAGACTGTCAGATTGCGCACGGAGCAGCGCAGTTTTTAAGAGAAAGGCTGTTCGAGGCGTCCGATCCCTACCAGGTTCACGTCTGCAACCTGTGCGGCATCATGGCGATTGCTAACACCAGGACCCACACGTACGAGTGCAGGGGCTGCCGCAACAAGACCCAGGTGTGTTCGGGCTTCATCCCTTGTGTAGTTGTACCCGCGTCGGTCTGGTTACCGAGCAGACTCCGCGCGGTGGAGCAGGGGGTGCCACAGCCGTGGCTGTTGGCCTATCTTAGGGTTCCCACTTTTAAACAAGAAAAAGGTGATTGGATTTTTCCAAAAAAAAAAAAAAAAAATCAATGGTGGTAGAAAAAAAAAAAGGTACTTTTTCCAAACTGTTTATCTTTTTTAAATAAGGTCTTGTGCAAGGGATTTTAAGCAGCGAGTTTTTCCTAGACCCTTTCATTGAAGAGGTTAATATGAGCTATGTCTGCAGAGAGGGGGGATTCGGCAGGGTGTCAGGAGAAAGAACCCCCAGGAGGCCAGGCGCAGGAGTGACTGAGCGCTCGCTCACCGGCTCCAGCTCTGTGCCTGGCGCTGAGGCAGGGAAGGGCGGTCACTTCGGTGTAGTTCTGCTGATTACTTCTTTCTTTCCTTTTCAGATTTCTCTGGTGCGAATGCCTTACGCGTGCAAGCTGCTGTTTCAGGAGCTTATGTCTATGAGTATTGCACCTCGAATGATGAGTGTTTAGCTCTTTTAAAAGGTTCTCAACAAGATCCTTGTTTATGTCTTGTTCCTATGACATGGCTTTGAAAAAAAATGACAAGATAGGAGTTCAGTCCCCAGCACCCCCCAAAAAGACACACTGTAATGTATTGCGGTAAAAAGCGTTTTATTTGGTTTAGTGATATGTATGCTTTTTTTTCTGTAAATAGACAATAAATTTTTGTAGATAGTGTGGATGTGTTACCTTTAATTTGGATTTTTCTAAAATCCAAAACCAGTAAAAACAGTGAATATCTAAAGGGTTAGTGGATTAGATTAAAAGAAACTTGTTTTCAGGCAAGAACAGGAGCTGTAGTTATCTGTGACTACTGCCGGCTGTGTAGCTTTATATATTCTGCAAGTTTATAGTCAGCACCTCCACCTGTGTAAAAAGAGAAAGACACGGTTGACTTTTTAATCGTCATGTAGCTTAGTGTTTCCAAGTATAGGAAGCTGTTGCAACGTGGGGCTGAAGAGCAGGGCATAGTCGTGTGCACGTGTTATCTCTGCTGCTTGGGAGGCTGAGGCGGGAGGGTCGTTTGAGCCCTGGAGTTCAAGGCCAGGCTAGGTAACAGTGAGACCCTGTCTCTTGATCAACCAAGCAAAGTAGGCATGGTCGGGCACACCGTAATCCCAGCACCTGGGAACCTGAGGCAGGAAGGGTCGCTGAGTTCAAGGCCAGCCTGAGCTATGTAGCGAAACCTTGTCTCCAAAACAAAACGATGGGGGTGAAAGTACGTAGGAGATCTTTCACAAGTGAGAGTGACGTGCCGCGGTGCTGTGGAGTGTGGGATGTGTGACCGTAGGTACGGAAGTAACCTCGCTCCGCGGGCCTACGGGTCCAGGGGCCCTCACGGACCTGGCAGCACACACCTGCCCATGAGCAAGTGGAGCCCCGAGGCCGAGGAACTGCTTCGTGTCCAGCTCTGCTGAGAGCTTCCCGAAGAGCGCGCCAGAGCTGAGCAGACGCGCGGCTGTCTCCTAGCTGCCGCTGTTGCTCTCCCTGCCTGGCTTTGCCTGTCGTGGCCGACGGAGCTCTGACCAAACCTCTTTCCCTGCGGGGTCCTTCCATTCCGCACTGAGTGATCTGCGCAGCAGCAAGGCCTGACAGAAGCTGACGGTAGAGTTTGTTCCCGACTGGTGTAAGGGAGAACCGGCTCAGACACCACCACTAACCTGTACGCGGGGCGCCGCTGCGGCTGCTGCAGAGGGGCATCCGGGCGGGACGGAGCAGAACTGGCTGTTTGCCAAAATACATCCGCACCTGCCTGGTTTTTCTCTTAAAAGCTCAAAGTGGAAGGCCAGATTGCCCACAACCATTTCCCCTTAACACAAGGGGAAAATGCCACATAGATAGTTACGAGAAATACAAGCCTTTCTAGTCACGCTTGGGTTTTGACTCCTAAGTCTAAGGTAAGGTAGAGGCATCTAAGTCATAGTATTGGCACCCACAGGTTCTGGGGTCATGTGATCCACATTTTAATGTCCTGTCTAATGCCCTGTGGTTCCTAGCATTGGTGAGACTGTTTACAGCATCGTATGCTTAGATGCTTGGTTCTGTGTGTGTGTGTGTGTATCTTTAAAAATCTTTTAGTTGGGTGTGGTGGCACACGCCTGTAATCTCAGCACTCAGGAGGCTGAGGCAGGAAGATTACCATGAGTTCAAGTCCAGCCTGGGCTACAAAGTGAGTTCATGGCCAGCCTGGACTACACAATGAGACCTGGTCTCAAAAAAAAAACTAAAAAAATTTTTTAGCCAGACACGCCTGCAATCCCAGCACTTGGGAGGCTGAGGCAGAACTGTTGCACATTTGAGACCAGCCTAGGCTAGAAGGTGAGCTCAAGGCCAGCCTGAACTCGGTCTCAAAAAGACACCCTCCCCCCAAAAAAACATTAGTACATGTCTGCAATATATCGTGGATTGTATTCTTGATTAAGCGGAAGCCTGACCCACCTCTTCTCACAGACCCTTATCCACTGGTACTTCATGTAGGGCATCAACCACTGTGATCTTGGCAGACGCTGAGGCCTGTCCCTGGGAGTTGGACGCGTGGCACTCGTATTCTCCGTCGTCCTCCTTGCTCAGAGGAGACACCTGTGAGAGGAGAGGGCATCAGTGCCGGGTGGTCCCCTTTTCACGGGCCTCCACTAGGTCCTCACTTCCCCAGGCCCCTAACATGGCTGAAGGACTCGAGCAAGCTGCGCAGGTCCTGGGCAAGGAGGCGGGAAGCGCCCTGGACAGCTCTGGAAACCCTGTGCAAGCGTGCAGCTGGAGGGAGGCTATAGGGGCACGATCTGCGAGGTTCCCGAGATCAGAACTCAGGAATGTAACGCTCGTGTCACCCTGGGAGAATTCTCCATACTGCTCCTAAACCGCCTTCAGGTCTCCCTTGGTTCCTGCTGCAAGGAGCAGTGGCCCATGGCAAGGCTGTTCGGACGGGAAGAGCCAGCGCTCCCGGCCCCCTCCAGGCCCGGTTGAGCCGGCCCCAGAAGGAGACCTCAGCCCTTGGTACGCACCAGCACCCAGCCGGTCACTTCGTGCTTCTCGGGGCCACCGCGGGTCTGAATGGCCAGGTTGTCCCGGTCGCCAGGCAGAAGTTCCGTCCTTTGAACTCCATAGTTACCCCTTTTGACCTGCAAAAAACATTTTGTGCATCAAAACTTCAACTCAGAAACGGCCGCACTGAGAACTGCACAAGGTGGACATCAGGCTTTCTCACCACATTACATCCAGTAATTCACTCACGTGTTCCCTGTCCGGAATGCTCATGAAAATACAGCGTTTATTGCCTCCCACTGGCTTCCCACACTGGACTAGCCGGTGTTTTAGTTTCCCTGTTGTTCGGCGGAGACAGGCTCATCCTTTCCTCACTGTGCTGCCCACGGAAATGCCGCTCCTCACCGCAGGGCCTTTCTTATCTGCCTGAGTGGCGGGCGCTCGGTCCCTCGGGGCTAGCGCGCTGGGCATGCCTGGGCCTCGGGCTCTTCTGTGCCAGCCTCAGTGGGAAACAGGCGGAGGCCGAGGCCCACTCCCTTTCTTTGTGCTGGGGCTAAGGATTCAGGCGATGTATTTACTGAAGACGTGAGGTCCAGAGTGCCTGTCACATGCAACTGTGCCACTGTTCTCAACAAAGCCTGCGCCCGCTCCTGCCAGGGTGGGTCTGGAAGGCTGGCTTCAGACACCCACTTTGCCTGGCTGAAGGCCAACGGTGAATACTGTCTTAACGTCCTCCCTCCTTTCAGAGGTCAAACCATTCGTTATGAAAGCTTTGGAAAACATGCAAAAAATACACAACAAAAAACGTACTTGTTATCCCCCTACACATATATTTAGAAGCTCAGTTACAGGCTATGATTTTTTGTTTTGTTTTTTGAGGTAGTGTGTAGTAGCTCACTGTGTAGTAGTTCAGTCACCTGGAACTCTTGGTCATCTTCCTGCCTCAGCCTCCTAAGTGCTAGGATCAGACAGGTATGCACCACTGCACCTGGCTAAGATACACGTAATTTAGGGCTTGTGATAATAGGGGGTCTTGAGAAAAATGTTTGCTTTATGCTAGGCCTCTTTTAGGAGCTAAATTGATATTTATTGTCATTACTTTTGTAATGGGAAGGACTTAAAATCTCAGAGAGGTAGTTTCCTTTTTAATTTCTTCTGTAACAAAGGAATTTCTCTATATTCCCACCATCAGAGGAAGAATACTAGGCAACTTAGTCTCCTCTTCCTATGAATGCTATGAAGACAAAACACAGAACAGGCAGGTTTTCCTTCCGTTTCCCAAGTAGCTGGCAGAAACAGTTTATGTGAACGCAGCTTTTGCAATAGTTACTTAAATTGAGCATGGTGGTGCAGGCCTGTGATTGTAGCACTCAGGAGGCTGAGGCAGGAAGATCACTTGAAGGCCAGCTTGGGCTACACAGCAAGATCCTGTTTCAAAAAAAAGTTCTTTAAAATGGGTCTTCAGGTTTTGGGTACTAATTTCATTCAATTATCTTAGGCCTTTATCCACTGAAGCCCAGTATCCTATAAAGGTTTTGTCTATGACCAAAGCAGAAAGATAAGATTTATAGCACAGGAATACTGAATCAAAGCAACTGAATGGTGGATCTGTAGATCACATAACTCTTAGGTTTTTGGGAAAGCATTTTGTGCTAATTAACACAAACCATTATGCACAAACTATTCTTGTTAAATATGTTTGATACAATTCATGATATATTTTAATTAACGTAGTATAAAAAGTTATGCACCATACATGGATGGACCAAGAATTTTTATGTGGCTACTTTTTTATATGGCAAACTTACTTAAGTAAGAGTTTGTAAAAAGTTGCTAGCCTGAGGACAGTTCTGCAGATCATGGACTGGAGGTTCGAGCCTAAACCCTGGAAACCTTCGCGCAGGAAAAACTGCCTAGGAAGTTGCGTAAGGTGGAGACTGGGCCCAGGAGTGGCTGTGCTGGTCACTCCTCAGCTGTCCTGCTTGTGCGGTTGTAAATAAGCAGCAAGAAGTAAGAAAAGGTGCCAGTTCTTACAATACACGGTAGATGTGTCCGGTTACTATGGGATGAGACATTTAGGAAGTTGCTCAGGGAAATTTTCAGACCCATTTATGTATTATAGAACCTATTTGTGGGAGCTGGGGATTTAGCTCAGCGGCACAGCAGCTGCCTGGCAAACATGAGGTAGTGAGTTCGATTCCCAGTACCGGAAAAAAACAAAACCAAACAAACCAAAGAACCTATTTGTGTTTTCCTGGCAAATGTTCAGATTTTTAATAAAATGCGTACCTTTTAAAATTTTCAGGTTGCCCCCCAACCACTGTAAACAAAACGATTGTCTACAAAAAGTATTTGTAATACATAATAAAGGCTCAGTTATCTCTAAGGTAAGAAAAAGCCAGAGGCTGAAGAACTGCATAGAAAATAGGTAAAGGGTATGAAAGGGCAGTTCTTAGATGAGGAACCCCAGCGTGAAGATCCCTCTTTTTTTTTTTTTGGTCTTTTTTGAAACGGTCTCGCTATGCAGTTCAGGCTGGACTTGAACTCGCTTTGTAGCGCAGGCTGCTCTCAAACTCAACGATCCTCCTGCCTCAGCCTCCCGAGTGCTGGGATTCCAGGCGTGCGCCACCATGCCCGGCACAACGTGAAGATCTTGATGTAATCAAGGACGCAAGCAGTGATGAGGGACTGAGGAAGTAGCTCAGTGTGCAAGCCTGCCAAGCGCACACAAGAGATGCCATTCTGATCTGTGTGCTAAAGCTAGTGAGAGGGTGGCAGTGCTCAGTGACAGTGACAGTGCCTGCTGGTGCTGTGGAGCGAGAATTCCACCATGCACTCAGCTGCCTGACCTTGTTTATTATAACTAGAACAAATAGTGCCACCTAGCCACCTGATTTCCGGTACTCTATTCCCACCTAGCCACGTGACTTCCGGTACTCCATTCCCACCCAGCCAGCGACTTCCAGTACGGCAGTTCCACCTAGCCAGTGATTTCCAGTACTCTATTCCCACCTAGCCAGTGACTTCCGGCACTCTATTCCCATCCAGGCAGTGACTTCTGGTACTCCATTCTCACCCAGCCAGTAACTTCCTGTACTGCAGTCCCACCTAGCACGTGACTTCTGGTACCGGGGATGGGGGGACTTAGTTACCTGACTTCCGAGGAATGGGCCACCTGACCAGTGACTCCTGGGATCTAGTTCCCTAGCCACATGACTGCCGGGACTCTGCCCACCCCATGAGGAGCATTAGCGTGTAGTGTATGTGCGCTCAGACGTTTAAGGCAGCCTTGTTTAGGGAGTCGAAAAGTTGGGAACAACAAACATTCTGCGGATGGCTTAACGGGGCAGGGCACATCCCTGTGTGGAGTTACAGCCAGCAGAAGCGGGTGGAGAGCCCCCAAAGTCATTAGACAGGAAAAAGGAGCCAGTGACAGCCCCACCTCCCTGCTGCACCCGGGCTGTCTGTGCGTGAAAAAGGCTACAGAAAGATGAAGCCAGGGCCGTTCACAGTGGTTATTTAGGAAGTGGAAGGAGAAAGGAGAATTATAAACTCTTCATAAACCTTTTTTTTTTTTTCTTTTTTTTTTTTTTATCTTTTTGAGACAGTTGCGCTGTGCAGTTCTGATTGGCCTTGAGCTCACTTTGTAGCCCAGGCTGGCCTCGAACTTGCAACGATCCTCCTGCCTCAGCCTCCCGAGTGCTGGGATTACAGATGTGCACCACCATGCCCAGCTCTTTATAAACCTTTAAATCATTAGTTTCTCATCATCACTGTAATTTTTTCGTGGTTAATGGTAATTAAATGCAGGGCTTTCTCACTGACCTACATCCTTAGCTCTTTTAAGTACATAAATAAATATTTTTGAGGCAGTCTTAAGTCACTAAGTTGCTAAGTTGCTTAGGTGAAGCTCGACCTTGAGATCCTCCTGCCTCAGCCTTCCTGCTAGGATTACAGGCATGCACCACCTCCCCGGGCCGCCATATTTAGTGCAAGAAAAACGCTGCTGGTAAGGACATACAGACTGCTAACGGCGCCCCAACTCCACGAGCTACCATGGCACGTCTAGGAAGTAAAGTGCTAACAAAATCACCTTGTTACTTAATTAAAGAGTTTAATAATTTAAAAAAAAGGAATTGCCGTACAGCTATGGAGAAGGCTTGTGTCCCCGAGACTGCTGTTGCTGAGTTCCTAAGCAAGAAAGAATGCGGCTTTCTCTGAACTGCAGGATCTCTTTGTTTTGTTTTTTGAGACAGTCTCTCTGCTGCTCCCAAGCTGGCCTCAAACTTGTGGCGACCCTCCTGCCTCAGCTTCCCCAGCGCTCGGCACACGTGTGCGCCACCACGCCCGGCAGTTTCTGTGTGCCAGGCGAGGAGCCCAACATCCCCTTTGTCTTGGGCAGTTCCGTGTCCATGCTGGATCAAAAGCCATCCGCGATCTGGCTGCATCCACGCATCTCGGGCGCTCGGGGCGAGGGGACCCGTGTCCGGAACGCCCGGCCCCGGCTGAGCAGGGCAGGGATGCGCAAGCGTCCGGGTCCTTCCGCCCCGCCCCACCGAACGTGTACAGTGCCCTGCGGGGCCCCGCGCCGCCCTCCGCCACCGGCCGCCAGGGGGCGCCAGAGGCCGGCGCAGGAACTCCGCGGGGCGCCCCTTCCCGCGGGGAGGGGGGAGCACGGCCCACGGCCCCACCGCTTCTCTCCCTCATGGGTGCGTGTCTGCGCGCACGTGTGTTTTCTTGCTTTCTGCCTCTGTAGTCTGATAGTTTCTTCAGCTGGCTCTAGAAAGAGTTCTGACCCTTGGGCTCAGAACCCCCTGGTGTCCCAGACGTTGTCCTGTCCTATGGGCCCTATGGGCGAGGTGGCAGAGGCCCATAAACCCGGCACCCTGGAAGCTGAGGCAGGAGGATCACCTTAAATTCAAGGCCAGCCTGGATGACATAGTGAGTTCAAGGCCAGACTGAACTACATAGCGAGACCAAGGTGCAAGGGGAGAAAAAAGGAAGAAAAAGAACCATGCTCACAGGAGAAGGCTGCAGAGCTCTGCACCCCGCTGCTCAGCCAGGCCCAGCTCCTGCTCAGCAGATGGGTCCCAGTGGATGAGCCAAGCGTTCTCTCAAGTGGGAGACAGGCCATGCACATAGTCGGGAAGGGGCTTCTTTGGTCAGAAAGAGAGGAACTCACTTGCTTTTTTTGTTTGTTTTTTAACACTTGGTCTCACTATGTAGCCTAGGCTGGACTTGAACTCACTAGGTAGCCCAAGCTGGGCTCAAACTTGCAGCGATCCTCCTGCCTCAGCCTCCCAAGTGGCTCTTAACCATTACACTGCACTGTACACAGACATACACAGTTGTTACCGCTCTGACTGCTCAGATCTGGGCCAGGGCCCTGCTGCATAAAGCTGGCTGGTCAGCTGGGCACAGCTGTGGCTAGCGGTCTGTGGGGGACACAGGCGTGGCCCCAGCAGCAGCCGGCCTCGGGCCAATGTCCAGGTCCTGCACCGGTCAGGCTGGGACTTGGCCCTGACATCGTGGACTGACCTTGTTCCAGATGAGCACCGGGGTTGGGATTCCGATGACCTCACAGCTCAGGTACACCTGGGCGCCGGTGACATTCCAGATGTCCTTGGGGGGCGTCACGATGGACGGACCTGCAAGACAGCGGGCGGCCGCGTCAGTCTGAGCGGCACAGCCCGGCCGAGCGCAAAGCCACCGCGGCCTTGCATGTCCCCAAGAGCAGAGCGGCCCAGCCCGGCCCGGCCATCTGAACCCGCAAACCGCCATAAATAATTAGGAAGAAAAACCCCCTGCTAACAAAATTATCTTCTTCCCTAAACCACCGCCCCTCCGTGGGTTTTAATTTCCCAGCTGTTCTGCACCTCTGGGATGTTCCCATTAGTTCAGTGACATTTTAGTTCCAAAATGCTTTAGTGTTTCTTTTCGTTTGTTTATCAATATTTTTACTTGGAGGGGGATACACAAACACTCACTGCAAAATGAAAGACAAAAAAAAAGAGTTCAAAGCCATTATGTGAAAAGGCGCCAAGAACCCAGGCAAGAGGAGCGTCTTCCCCGGGGGTTAGGCTTAGGGTTCCTGTCAAAGCTGCCATTCCTGGCTGGGACGGGGGCAGGAGGAGATGCGGAGGCATCCCTGAGCGGAAGGCCTGGGTCGGAGAGGCTCTGGGTCTCTGCGGTGCAGGTTGGGGAGGCGGCTGGTAAAGAACAGCACATGCGGCAGGACCAGCTGCTTCCCGGCACCTATGTGCCGCTGATGCTGGTGTTGTGTGAGGTGTGGGAGCCTGGAGAGGGGCCAGCGTGACGCCTCCCGTCCCTCACCCGGGCACCCTGGCTCCCGGGCATCCATCCCCTTCTCCCCTCTGCTCAGGATCCTTGCCGCAGCTCCTGAGGCGGCTCTCAGGGTCTGGGCTTGGCTGACTGCGGTCTGGGAGCCAGACCCGGCCCCTCGGTGTATCTGCACGGGCTGAAGTGAGACCGATCTGGGAACATTTAAAGGCGCGAAAAGCAGCGGTACACCTGCTGTCTGCCCCTGCCACCCTGGAGCAGCTCCTCTGAGGCCGTGCGGCCCAGCACAGGTGAGGCGGCGGCTGCAGAAGAACCCGGCTGATCCCCGCCCTAATCAACCAAGGGGAGACCCGTGCCCAATAGGATCTCAGCAGTGGGTGTGGCAGCGCAGCCTGTAATCCCAGCACAGAGGGAGGCTGAGGCAGGAGGAGCACAAGTCTGAGCACAGCCCAGGCAATTTTTTTCCCGTTTTTTTTTTGGTACCGGGAATCGAACTCAGGATCTTGCGCTAGCCAGGCAGGTGCTTGTGCCGCTGAGCTATATCCCCGGCCCAGCCCCGGCATTTAATGACTCAGTGAGACTTTGTCTTAAAACTGGAAAAATAAAAGGAGCTGGGGATGTTGCTCAGTGCCAACGCCCTGGGTTCGATCCCCAGTACCATAACGAAGGATGTCAGAGAGAGGCGCTGTACTCCAGTCCCCTGGAGCTTCCTCGGAGGTGAGCAAGCACACCCACTGCATGCGTTCTGGTTCACAAATTCCCAGATACCAGGGGAGCACGCGGGAGGGGTGCGGCTCCCCAGCCTCTGGGTAGGGGAGACGCCCGCACACCTGCCTCACTGCAGGACCGTTTCCGCTCGTCCGGGGTGGGTGGGCCGGTTCCCCCGAGGCCGCGGCCTGGGCTTGCCGCAGCGCTGGGTTTGGCAGAAGAACCGTTACTCGGGCCTGGGGGCTTCCGGCCCAGTGCAGACTGCGGCCGCAGGGTCAGCTCCAGCGGCCCTGGGAAAGGGACAGCCTCGCCCTCAGGCGACCCCCCGGGGTCATCAACATCCAAAGGACAAGAGTCCCTGCTCGCAGCGGGCTATTTCTAGCGCTTCATTTCCGGTGTAAGACTTTCCTACTCGTCTCAAGTAGCAGCAGCCGATTTTTTTTTTTTTTTCCTTTTTGAGACAGGCTCTCATATACAGTTCAGGCTGGCCTTGAGCTCACTTTGTAGCCCAGGCTGGCCTCAAACTCCCAACAATCCTCCTGCCTCAGCCTCCCTGGTGCTGGGATTACAGGCATGCGCCACCACGCGCGGTTGCAGCCGACTTTTAAAGTCTCTTGGGACGTACTTTTCCTCCTTCGTAAGAATATGTGCAAAGCGACCCCAGGTTCTCTCTTTTTTTTTTTTTTTGGTTTTTCTCCGGAACCAAACTCACGACCTTGCGCTTGCCAGGCAGGCGCTTTTGCCACTGAGCTAAATCCCCAGCCCTGCAGTCAGGTTTTCGTCCCTCTTGAACGATGAGGTTCAGGTCGACGCCCCCACGCGGACCCCGAGGCCCCTCCGCGTGTGCAGAGCTCGTCCTGCGCCTGTCCGCGCCTGAGCAGGCCTCCGCGGGGCTCCACCCTTCGCAGACCCTCCAGTTCCACCCGCGGAGCCACGGTTAACGACGGCAGTTAGTTCTGCCCGCGCCGAGGCACTCCACAGAGGGCAGATCTGCTCTCTCTCCCTCCCTCCGCCTTATTCCAAGAAACGGAGCCTTCCACAGGCAAGAATTCTTTAGAAACATTTTAACCCCGAATACTCTGAATAAGATGCACCCCCAGGGGGTTCGAGAGGAAGACCAGACCGCTGGGAGCGCCTCCCCGCTCTCCAGCCCTCGGGATACACACGGCATTTCAGAACGGGCTGCTCTGGCCACGTGCGAGGCTCTGCCCGCCTGGATGCAGGCGGTGTGCAGAGCTCCCCCAGCCCTCTGCGCTCCTCAGGGACGCCGCGCGGGAGGAGCGGGAGGGAGGGTGCTTCGGAAGCCCTGGGCTCTTCGTGCATCCTCCAGCAAAGTCTGGATTACTAACACGCGGAAAGGTTTAACCGACAACGTCCAGGCTGAGGACAGCCGGTCTCCGGGAGCCCGCAGGCTCTGACACTGAGCTCTTCAGTGGAAGTCAGATCAGAAAGCGACCAGAGGAACAGCGAGCGATCGGATCAGCAGACTCCGTGCCGCAGGAGGCAGGTCCAACCCGACTTCCCGGGTTGGAGGCGTCCCCAGGGCCTCAGCCTTCCCCGCCGCACTGTGTGCGGAGCCGCGGAGGGGACATCTGCCTCTGGGCTGTGCCAGGTTCCCTGTCACTTACCCTGCCTGGCAGCTCCTGGGCACGATTCCCAGAGGGACGGAGAGGCCCTGGAGGGCGGCAGGACACGGCAGTGTTCAAGGACGAGGTGACACATGGTTAGGACAGCGGGGGACACGGGGACCCACAGGGACACAGAGCACAAGGCTGACACGGAAAGAACAGGGGTGCAAATGCTATAGGCTCACATGCCACCCCACCCATCCCAGTGAAAATACCTCACTGCCTCCAGTCGGGGACTGCACTGCGGTCCTGTAATTCATCTCAGGAAGGTTCTGTTCTGCCAGTTATTTATCTTTGCTCTCGTTCTGCGGGGCTTCAGGCTGCTGAAACATCTGTCTAGCAGACATCCCGTCGATAGAATAACCCACGGTCCACTGCCTCTCCTTCCTTGGTCACTCAGGAAACTAGAAACCACCATGCACACCACAGCGCCGCCTTGTGGCTGATGGGAGAAGTCACCACAGGGTCCCCTCACTCAGCTCCAAACCAGGTGAGCCCATTCTCTTACCTTACACACTTCAGTCAGTTCTCATCTAATCTCTCCTGGTCCTTCAAGTGCTCCCCAGTAATCCATGTCTACCCTCTGAGTTCATAGTCTTACCCCGCCCCCGCTTTTTTGTCTTTTTGAGACAGGGTTTCACTATGCAGTTCAGGCTGGCCTTGAACTCACTTTGTAGCCCAGGCTGGTCTTGAACTTACAGGGATCCTCCTGCCTCAGCCTCCCCTGTAACTGGTTTTACAGGCATGCAATACCATGCCCAGCTTTTTGCACTTGGTTCTAAAGAGCTAAGAAAGGCACTTCTCACAAAACACAAAGGACATGAGGAAAAGACCTTGGAAAGGAATTCATTTTCAATTTACCAGCAACTGATTCAACCTAACTTTAAACAAAGTTGTAGTACACAGGACAGAGTTAAAGTTCATTATCCTATAAAAAGCACAGGAAGGGACCTTAAAGAAGTATGCAAGGCATTTCCTCATCTCAAAGCGCTCTCCAGCCATGGCCCAAGATGCCCTCACCAGGCTATTTAAGAGAAAGAGGACAAAGCTCTCTTGGGGTCAGAATGCTTGGCTTTGGATCTTATCCAGGCTTTAAAAACTTTCCTTTTTATTAGTCCATGTTGGCAGTACATAATGACCGCATCCATCGTGGGGAGCTGCTGCACGCACACGATGCACCCTGACTCCTTATGTCTCTTTCCCCGCAGCACTTCCCTCTCTCCTGCATCCGTCTGCGGGCGTCTGTGGGATTGGAAGCTCAAACTCTGGCATCCCCAGCACAAACTCCCGGCCTGCATCTCTGACATCCTCGAGGTTCTGAGCTCCCACTGCCTGGCCCGGGAGCCCTCGGTCTCATGCCCGGTGTCTCCCACACCTCCTCACCCACCCAGGCACCGTGGGCAGGTCTCAAGCCAGCTCTCCACCCCGGGCATGGCAAAGTGGAACTTGAAAGCACCACCTCATTAGCCAAGTTTCTAATCTGAAAGAACTGAGATGTCAGGACAGCCCCGTCTTGAGCTGAGCGTAGTTCACTGAGCCTAGGAAGTGGTCAAAAATCAAATTGTCCTCCTAGGCAGTGTCTGTTCTACATCATCACATCCAGCTACACGTGTCTTTGCTTCAGGGCTTGTCTCACTTTCTCCGTCATCTCTGCATTTTCACCCTCCCAATTCACGCTTCCTCGTTTCTCCCCAAACCCCCTCTTCTCCCAGCAGTCCTGTTTTCCTACAGCACGCTCATTTCCTTTCCAGAGCCGCTGGTTATGCGATGCCCGCAGTGTCTCGGAAGGTCCTCCCTCCCCTCACCCCTCGCCTATGCCTTCTCTTTACAAGAAGTCCTCAGGATAAAACGTAGTCCCCTTTCACTTTTTTTTTTTTTTTTACAGCACTGGCTCCCACTTACTTCATGCCACACAGTTTGGTGCAACACTGTTCTCTAGTGCTTTCCCTGCTGGGCTGGCTGAGTGTCGAGTGCTGAGGGAGTCAGGGCTGGACCAGGAACTCTGGAATCCG